GTGTTTCTTCTTCGCTCACTTTCATCACTCTCAGTTCATACAACTCTCTGCATTACACCTCTATGCTTTTTGTCTCCCCTTGCTCTCTTCCCTCTCCTCTCAACCCCTCCCTGATTCTGTCAGAGGTTTCTTCCAGTTAAAAGGGAGTTGTTTGTGTTTGGCCATAAATAAAATTAGAAAAACTGAACTGAGTCTGGTTTCTCTGTTAGAACCAAGAGAATCAGAGCATAACCTGCAGCTGAATGCTGCTCTCTTACTTGAGGGTGGCAACTCCTTCAGGTGTGGTCGGCTCGTTGAAGCGTCTCATGTATTCATGCATTTCTGGAAAACTCTTCTTCATGTAATCCTCCGCACTGCTTTCCCTCACTGTCCCAAAACGAAAACCCTGTGACGGATGATGCAGCTGCACACACCAACGAAGAGGAGGAAGAGGACAAGAAGAATGAAGGACACACAAACAGAGGAAACAGCGGATGCTGCATATTCAGCTGAAACACATGAAACATCTGTGAACACATTTGACCTGAAACACCCCACAAAGCTGCACAGTACAGGGCCACTCTGGGCACTCACGCTCACATTCAGTTTCATGTTTCTTCTTAGTCACGCTTTATTTTATAGATTACATCCAGAAATTTCCTTCACAGCCTCTTGATACACTATGAGGATAGGCGGCACCCAGAAAGCTGCAGGGCTTCACATTTAAAATAAAAAGCTAATCACACACAGATGGACGTCCAATTAAAGCTCCCTGAGCTCCCAGCAGTGCCGGCTGTGCAAACACTGAGAGGCGTGCTTCATGCTTCAATCAGCTGCTGAATTAAAAGTGTAATTATGACAAGGCAGGTGATCCACAGAGCAAATTTAATCTGTAATTGTTTTAGGACGGAGAGCACAGAGTGAAAAGAGTCTGCAGAGAGTTCACAAACACAGATCTGACCTCGCCTCAACCAGCAGCACCACATTGCCTTTATCATGAGACTGAAAAATGTTTCACAGGAAAAACACTTGTGGTTGTCTCACTTTAAACTCACCTTGTGGCCGCAAATTTTGTGTGTGTGAGTGTGAAACTGATGGTGTCAGACCGGGCATGGTTAGAGGTGAGAAATGGTCGAGTTTAGTCGCATGCTGTGTGAACCCCAGGCTCCAAGTAAGACTCTGACCTGGGCCTCTGTGTGAGATCTCATGCTGTGTAGCTGATATCCCCTGTTAGTGTTTTTCTTGCATCTTCATATTATTGTTGTTCCAGGATCACCATTGCAACTGACCAATTACATTGTGATGTCATAGCTTTGCACTTTGGGGGTAAAAGTCAAAAACCTCTTTGTTTATATAAAACTGTAAAAAAATTCCTCAATAAATGGTAAGTGTTTCTAATAAAGGTTTATCTTCTCTTAATTAATTCATATAATATAATAAATATATTGTCAAGTTAGGTTTCATGTTAGTCAAATTTTGCTAGTGATAGTTTTTAAGAGCATTCGCTAACTTCCTGGCTAATGATAACTGAAGGTTCAAGTTGTTCTTGCCCAACTTGGCTGAAAATTTAACTGGTCCTTGACCAACATTATTATAATGATGCAGGATGCTAATCTCCAGTATGAGCCCTATATGCTGAACCAAAGGGATGCTTCAGAAATGTTTTAGTCTCTCAGGATGTCCTGTTTGCACTCTCCTTGCTCTACGTGTGATTGGAGACCAGCTGAAGATCCTGACACTAACAGCAGAACCATGACAAAATAATCGAACCTTACGGTCTCACCTTGGCATCATGGATCCCTGAGACCTCCTCAAAGGTCTTCTCTCCCACCATGACAGCAGCAAGGTTGGCGGTGTAGCTGGACAGCACCAGCAGACAGAAGATGGCCCACAGGTTCATCAGGAAGCGGCCCGTCCAGCACTTTGGGGTCTTAGAGGAGACCGTGCGCCCGAACAGGATGGCGTAGCACAGGTTGAGAGCTGATGAGTAAGAGAATACCCTCATCCGGTTGCGCCCATGAGGTGTCATCCCATAAGGACTCTTCCACTCGTAGAGCGTGAGGAAAAGTGCAGTGATGTGCAGCGCCAGGAAGATGCCCACCCACATGGACCAGTGCAGGGGCCACATGAAGGCCCCGATGGGGGCTGCTGTGTCCTTACTGCGCACCAGAATGCCCAGGCTGGTGGAGAAGAAGGGCGAAGTGAAGTCGATCACCCGGCTACGGGCAGAATTTATGCTAAATGAGGTGACGGCCATGTCTGCCAGACCATTCAGGAGATCTCCCACCAGCCCGGTCCAGCGCCCTCCCTTCCAAGCTCCATACTTTCCGTCTCCGACGATGTAAAGGTCAAACTCAAAGCCTAGGTCCTCAGCCAGCTTCTCCAGCAGGTCTATACAATATCCATAGCAGCACTTGGTGTAGTCTCTGGGCAGCGAGCTGCTGTTCCCAACTGCCACTTCCCTGAAGTATCTCTCCAGGGTCTCTGAGCTGTTAGCGGCAGCATCCAGGCAGAATTGACCGGCCGGGCAGCTGCCCTCGTCGTCCACGTCCCGCGTGAACACGAAAGGATGTTCCACCAGGGTTACCACCCGGACCCGACTCCCTGCCACCGGCAACCCTGCCCGCCACCGGCCCCTGGTCCTCCCACCCATCCCATCCATCCTGTGGTGAGGCTTGGGTCCTTGCCACACTTGCTGGTCCTCCACCTGCAGCGAGCCATCCTCCCAGCTGCCTACTGTCACCCAGGTGGGTTGACCCAGTGCGTCCCGCCGCAGACTCCAGATATGGAATCGCTGCAGAGTAATAACCTCAGACCAATTCTGGTGGACTCGGACGGGACCGGTGAGTCCAGAGAAAGATGTGTTTGACAAAAACCTGCAGCAGAAAAAAAAGCGGGTTGCATGTGAGTGGGGGCAGGGCTTGTGAGCAGTGCTGTTGGATCATTGTCTACTGAATTATCAGTTTTTAACTGAGAGCAGAAGAAAATGGATCACAAAATTATCAGTCAATAGGCTAATAAATAAATATGATGTATACTTTTCAAACATGGTCTCTTAATAAAAAATTACTCTCCCACCGGGATCAACGCTTGACCCCGTCTAACTTTAACCATAAAAACTACATTTTTAATACACAGATGACCCTGATGTGTTTCCAGCTCTGATTGGTCAATATGATGGCAGACACAATGTTTCCACTGATCATGAAGACGTTTTTTGGTTCTACAGATAATGTAACTGTCATGAATCGCTGTATGGTAGGCAGGAGATTGGACCCGAAATGCAGGACTCTCAACCAGAGACGGGCAGTAACGCGTTACTGTAATCAAATTACTTTTTTCAAGTAACGAGTAAAGTAAGGGATTACTATTGCAAAAAAGGTAATTAGATAACTGTTACTTTCCTGT